GCCCCAGCATGCAACTCGGCAGCGTGAGCTTCGTCGCGGAGACTAGCAATGATCGCCGCATTCTGCGCTTCCGCGCGGCCCATTAGATCGCTGACGGGCTCGCGCTCTTCGCGGGCCACGCGACGCTCGGCGACGCCGGAAGCTGGCAACGCGCCCACGAACGGCGCCCCTTCGCGGAATAGGCGCTCAACGTCGTCGGCCCAACCGATCTCGGTCGCGATGGCGCCTAGGGTCGGGCCGTCGACCTCGGAGACTGCGGCTCTGGCCGCCGCGCCCACGCCGTCCAGCCAGGCCCGCTGGGCCCCCGGACGCCTCGACTCGCGGCAGCGCGCCTCTATGGCTCTAATCGCGGCCTCCCTTTCGCCGAAGATCTGCCGCGCGGCGCGTGCGGGGTGGCGCGCGCGAGTTGCGACTGTCGCGCCTGCCGGCAACTGCGCGACTTTGCCCAGTCGACACAGGCGCGGAGATCGTCGCGCAGGGGCGCGGCGTCTTGAAACCACGCCGTGCCCTTCGACGCGGCATTAATGACAAAGTCGATATTCGCCTTGTCTTCCCCCTGCGACGCTGCGGCGCTGGCGCGCGGAAGGCGCGGGGCACCGCGGCCGCGCTCTCCGCCTCGGCGCTGGACGCCAATTCTTCAAAACGCGGGAGCCACGAGCCCGCCGCGGCACTGCTTGCAGCGTTCCGCCCGTCAGGTACTGGCGCGCTCCGGTCTTCCGACGGGCACATTGCCCCAGAGGCCGTCACTGGCGCCCGCGCCTGCCGGCTGACGGCCCCCAAGGGTTCGGGACGCCCGCGCGCGACGGAAGCGCGCCGCGCCTGTGATGCAGAGAGAAACCTGCCATCTGGCAAGTTCGGCGCGGGTATGCCCGCGCTCTCGCGCTCCGCCAAGCCTGGGCGCGCTTTCCGCGCGCGAGCGCGCGCTGCCGGCCGCGCGACGGTGCTCGCGCCTCAATCCTCGCGCTTGCGCTTCGGCGTGCGCGGCTGCTCTGTGCCCCGCGCTGCGTCGTGCTTGCCTTTGCCCTTCGCGTGGGCCCGCGATTCCCAGGACTTGCCCCAGCTCTTGGGCTCCCAGGACTTGCCCCAGCCCTTGTCGCTCTCGGCATGCTGGGACTTGCCCTTGCCTTTCCCCTTGGACTCCGCATGGGGGGCGCCCTTGCTGCTGCCCTTCTGCTGCCGATCGGAGAGGTTGGGATGCCCGCGAGCCGTGTACTCGCGCTCGGCGCGTATGCACAGGCTCTGCTCTTGCTGCAGCGCGTCGCGGTTGACGTTAAAGGAGCTGGAGCCACTGGCGCGATCGGCCCACTCCCGCCTGGCCAGCTCGTCATAGATGACCGCCAGGGCTGTGGACTTGCGCATCCCGCGCGCCTGCCCGCAACGCGCGCGGGCGGCGGCCGGCCTCGGCCGCGAGACCAGGGAAGGGAGTTCGCCTGCAGCGCGATCTGCATGACGACGTCCTTGTGCGCCATCGCGGCGGCCAATTCAATCTGGCCCGTGAAGCTCGCGGCCAGGGCCCACCGGTCGAATGCGACCGACCGGGGCATGAGCGACAGCCCTCGCGAGGCGGCGGCTCCGCCCAGAATGCGCGCGCCGAAAGAGCGCGCCTTCTTTGTTCGCGTCCGCGCCGTCCTGGCCGCCGCGCTCCTCCACCGCCCAGTGCGGCAGCCACTTCTTCGAATCGCTGTAAATGAACGGTCTCGCGATCCCCTTCGCTTGGGCCGCTTTGACCTGCGCCGCTCCGAAGCGCCGCGTGCGAACGCTGAGCGATGCACCGCGCGCGCGCGGGCGCCTGGCTGTCGAGCCAGTCGCACGACGCCGGCGACGGCCAGCAAGCAGACGGCAAATCGCTGAGGCGGATGTCGCCCAGCTTCGCGCCGATGTCGACGCGCGCGGCCGCAGTCGGCTTGCGCGCGAGTGCGTCCACTAGCGCGGCGACAGGGTCATTCGACCCCCGCGCCGCCCCGTCGTCGCCGCGGGCGGCGGCCATGCGCCCCGCCTCGGTCCTGGCGGCGTTCTCTACGGCACGCGTGACGGCGCGGTCGAGGAAGGCTACCTTCCCACCGTTGAGGCCGCCATTGTCGAACGAACTCTCATGAATGTTGAGCCCGACTAGGTCTTGTTCAACCTGGCACGCGCTGTGCGCGACAGTCGGACCGAGGAAGCGCGTGGCGCTCGCCGTGACAGAATTCGCGTGAAGTGCTGCAATGACGTCGCGGAGGCATTCCTCGTCGCGCTTTGCGTGCGCGTCGACGCCAGACAGAAAAGCTTGCAAATCCGCCATGGGTGCGAGCGGGCGCCGCCTGTTAACGCGCATGACGCGCTCGTGCGCACTCGGTCCGCGCTCGGCTGCAGCTCGCGCACCGAAGCCGACCGCGTGCACGCGGGCCTCGTTCGGCCACCTAAATGACGCGCGCTAAGCGTGCACGGAGGGGGCGTAGACGTCGAATCGCGTCGGAACAGCCCCCGCTCGGAAGTGCGCTCGCGCGCCACACGTGCGGCGTAGACGTCGAATTGCGTCTTAATCTGACCTCGTTCGGTCGGTCGCTCGCTATCCTCGTTCGGATGCGGCGAAGACGTCGAAATGCGTCTAATCGGACCTCGTTCGGTCGTTCGCTCGCTATCCTCGTTCGGATGCGGCGTAGACGTCGACTTGCGTCTTAGTTTGACCTCGTTCGGTCGTTCGCTCGCTATCCTCGTTCGGATGCGGCGTAGACGTCGAATTGCGTCTGATCGGGCCTTGTTCGGTCGTTCGCTCGCTATCCTCATCGGATGCGGCGTAGACGTCGAATTGCGTCTAATTTGACCTCTTTCGGTTGTTCGTTCGCTACCCTCGTTCGGATGCGGCATAGACGTCGAATTGCGTCTAATCGGGCCTAGTCCGGTCGTACGCTTGCTAACGTCGGACGGCTGCGGCGTAGACGCGAATTGCGTCTAATTTGACCACGTTCGGTCGTTCGCACGCGGCCCGCGCTCGGATGCGGCGTTGGCGTCGAATCGCGCCTGCAACGACCTCGTTAGGCCGAAACGCAGACTGGACCTAAATTAGGTCCCGTAGTCACTAGAAGAGTAACGGGAAGTCGTCCTGGCATCTTTTCGAGTCCGGCAGAACGACGAGGGAATCGGCACCTGCGGGGGGAGAGGAGAGGGAGGAAGGAACCTGACAACGGCGGAGGCACCGCGCGCGGGAGGAAGGGGGAGGGAACCTGCACGAGGGGCAGGAGGGCAGCGCGGCGAAGACCGGCGCGCGCGCGCGCGGAAGCAGCAAGCAGGGGCAGGCGGCGGCGCAAGGCGAAGCGGCACGCAACGAGCAGGCAGGCGGCGGCAAGCAGCACCGCAGGGCAACGCAGCACGCAGCGAGCAGGCGAGCGGCGGCAAGCGGCAGCGACGAGCAGGCGGCGGCGCGCGGGGCGACGGCCAACGCGCGCGGTCGCGCGCGCCCCGCGCTCAAATCCCGAGCGCGGGGCGCGCGCCCCATGCACACGCACAAACCTGTGGTACCTGCGCGCGGCCGCGGCGGGCTGCGGCCGCGCGCGGGGGCGCGCGGGCCTGCCCACATCGCCTGCGGCGCGCCGCGGCGCGCGCGAGCCAAGCGGCGGCGCGGCGACTGCTCGCGCCTGCGTCCGCCGCGTGCGCCTGGGGCCAGCGAATGTGCGCGATGGAACCAGGGGCCGAACTCGTTCCATACAAAAACGCCACATTTGTTTCTGGGACGCATGCGGACGGTGGCACTGGGGGCTTCGGAGGGCTCCCTACGGGGCCACGAACAGCTGCACTGGATGGGTGGAAATGCCACATTGGGTGTTCCGGATCGCTTGCGGACAGTCCCACTGGGGCTTTCGGTGGAGCTCCCTATGGGGCCACGAAGCGCTGTACTGGGTGGGTGCATATGCCACATTGGGTGTTTCGGGACGCTTGCGGACGGTGGCAATGGGGCCTTCGGTGGAGCTCCCTACGGGGCCCGAAAAGCTGTATTGGGTGGGTGAAAATGCCAAATTGGGCGTTTCGGGACGCATGCGGACGTTGGCACTGGGGCCTTCGGTGGAGCTTCCTGTGGGGCCACGAAGCGCTGTACTGGGTGTGCGGAACGCATGCGGACGGTAGCACTGAAACCTTCGGAGGGGCTCCCATATGGGGCCACGAAACGGTGTAATGGGAGTGCGGGGCGCATGCGGACGGTAGGCCTGGAACCTTCGGTGGGGTTCCCTATGGGGCCACGAAGCGTGGTACTGGGTGGGCGAAGTGCAAGGACGAGGGGGAGGAGGGCCACGAAACGCTGTACTGGGCGGGGGGGGGGACGCATGCGGACGGTAGACCTGGAACCTTCGGTGGGGCTCCCCATGGGGCCACGAAGCGCTGTACTGGGTGGGTGAAACGCAGGGAGGAGGGAGGAGGGGGAGGAGGGGGAGGGAGGAGGGGAGGTGGAGGGAGAGGAGAAACGCAGGGACCGCCTCTTCAAAACGAGGACCCAACACCACAGGATGGTTGGGAAAAACAACAAACTTTGCTTCCGAGGCTGTTCACCTCCAAATCGCCTCGGAGAACCTCCAGAGAGCCCCACGAAACCTTCAAAACGGCCAAACAAGGCCTCGAGAGAGCCCCAAGACGGACCCGGAATGCTTAAGAACATCTCAAGACGGCCCGAGACCGCCCCTAGATGGCCCAGGAGGGCCTCAAGACCAACCTTTCATCTCACCCAGACTCTTCGGGAGAGCTCGGTGGAAACACCGCGCCTAAGACGGTTCCCAGACGCACGAAGAGCCCCCGACGGGCTCCTACTTCGCAGGCCCCCAAAGGCTCCCCACAGATCCCCAAGAAGTCACGAAGAAGCCCCCAAGAAGCCTCCAAAAGGAAGGACGCGGGGGGAGAACGAGACTGCGGACAAGGAGAGAGGGCGTGTTTAACACTGGCGCTAGTTCAGACAGGGCGCTGAACTGGGACGGATCTTAAACTCGGCATCGTGCTCTGCTACACTGACACGTTTGCGGGGTATGCCGCACGGCAGAAAGATAGTTGAAATTGGTGGCAATATATGAGAGGTCGTCCGTTCGCAACTGGAGCCTGTCTAAATCGGCGGTAACGTCGTTCAAGCGTCTGGTCGCGAGCTCCAGGCCGCTCTTGTAGAAATAATAAGCCTCCTTGCGCAAGCCCGACTGATAGGTCTTCAGCTCGGCCTCGAATTCGGTGATCTTCTTCCTGTATAGATCGCTCTCCTTCTGCTCCGTCGGCTGGATCTCCTTCTGTTTGGCGATGATGTCCTCCTTCAGCTGCGTTAGGTTCGCGGCGATCTTCTTCAGCTGCTTCAGCTGCTTCTCGCCTGGGAGCCCCTCCCTCTCTAACTGCGCGATTGTCTCGAAGACCTCGTCCTGCCGCAGGATCAGAGTCTCCTCCTGTTCGTACATGTCCTTGATGTGGTTCATCACCTTGATCAGGGCCATGACGTCGCCCTCCTTGATCTTCGTCTGGTACCCAGTGTTGGTGTTCTGGTAGAACTCATCCAGGCCCTTCAGGGTGCCCGTGATCCACTGGGTAACCAGGGGCCCAGAGTACTCGTTCGCGCGATTCCTGGCGGACGACGTGAAGGAAGGCTTGAAGGGAGAACCACGAATAGGCTGTGCTTTGCCGTTCTCGTCCAGCAACTTGACATGGATTTCCACGTCGCCCTCTTCGGCGATGTACTTGATTTCGTACTGGCCGTTGTCCTTATCCAGTAGCTCGAACGGCAAGTCCCGCCTGCAGAATCAGAAATATCAAATAAACAAATACTTCCGGGGGTCCGCTCGGATCTCCCAGGCCAGATTCTGGCCCCCATCCCAGCATCAACACAAACACACACACACACACACAAACACACACACACACACACACGGCGCGCATAGCTCCGCGAAGGGGGCCGCGCCGCAGGCGCATCCCAGGACGGCGGTGAGCGGGGTCCAGCGCCGACCCAGGAAGTCCGCGCGGGCCGCCCAGAGAGTATGCTGGTGCGGTTCGTCGTTCCTCTGGCCTGGTCTCCTTACCGTCCTCTAGCGGGACTTTCTGCTGCAGAATAATAACGAACTCGTCCCGCCCAGTCGTCCGATTCGCGCCGTGCTGGTTGCGCAGCTGGATGATCAGGCGCGTCTCCTGGTTCGCCTGCTGTTCCTGCAAGACGCCAGGGCCGAAGCACAGCGACTTGTCCGCGATCGAATTCAGGAAGAAAGCGTAGGTTGTGGTGGTGGTGGTCAGGTCGCGTGCACCGATCTGCACGCGGACGACGCACTCCTTCGGGCCCAGGCTGTTCGCGACACAAGGCGTCAGGCACTCGATGACTTCGTCGCTGAGGACGCTCCCCTGCGTGCTCGCGCTGAACTTGCCAGCGGCGAACTCGACGCTGACCATGCCGTGTGTGGACTGGAAACCGACGCCGTACACCCTGACCTTCATCTGACCCGTGACGGGGCCCAGCGGCGGGTCCACCTTCAGTATAGCGTAGGGCGGGCCGACGATGGACGACACGTTGATCTGCCACACATCGTCGAGCCATTTGTTGGACCAGCCGCCGAAGACGATCAGGCGCGACTCCTCTGGGTCGTAGCAGATTGCCGAGTGCTCTCGAGGAGCCGGCCGCGGGTTTTCCGGGCCCGCCGCGATCGGGTGGTCCTCCCACTCGTAATTCTCGCCGAGGTTGAGCACCCCGATCCTGTTGTCGAAGGAGCCACCGCTCCTCCCCTCGCCGCCGATGTCGGCGGTGCCGCCGAAGACGAAGACGCGCCACGACGGGATGGCCTCGACAAGCTGCAGGGAGCAGTTCCACCTGGGCACGCCCCACAGCAGGTCGAGGTCGCTCCAGTCCTTGTTCTCAACGTCCAGCATGAACAGGTCGTTGAACTGTGACTCGTGGTTCCATCCGCCGAATATGAACACGCACCCGTCCTTGCAGAATGCAGTGTGCCCAGAGCGGGGCGGCGGAGGGGTCCCCTGGCACATCAGCTCATTCCATCGCGCGTTGTCCAAGTTCAGCACCCACGTGTCGTTGAACGCCTTGCGCTGGTAGCCCAAGCCTCCGTGCCCACCGAACAGAACGACGGCGTTCTCGTGCAGGCATGTGGTGTGGTTGGAGCGAGGGGCGGGCAGGGACACGTCACTCGAAGGGCCCGAATCATCGCGCACTGCCTGCGACACCATAGCAACGAGCTCTTCGTGAAACTGCTCCTCGTTGGTCGCCATGAGGTTGCCGCCCATGGTCATTCCCCCTGCCTTCCGCATCTTCATGCCCGAGGTGCCACTGCGCGGCGCCTGGAGCATGCTGCCCATCTTCTTCTGCAAGATCCCGCGCCACTTCTTGGACGAGCCGCCACCCGCTCCACCAGGCCCGCCCATGACCGCGGACAGCCCGACCAAAGACCCGCCACGGGACGACGCGCGCTTCTCGTGAACGGCACGGGTTGCAGCTCCAGCCAGCGAGGCGAAGCTGATGCTGCTGGCGGCGCCACTGGGCCCACGACCAATACCGCCTCCCCTTGAGCTGCTGTGCGACATGGACGCTCGTGCTTTGGATCCCCGCAGCTTGGCGGAGGACCCACCCTTCTTGCGAACGCCCCACTCCTCCGTGTTGCGATCCTGGATCAGGCCCGTCATCCTCCGCGAAGCGGCTCCCCTGTTGCCCGTGGGCTGCGACTTGAAGTGCACCTTCTTCCATTCCATGCATGTGGTGTCCAGTATCCAGCCGTCCTGCAAGCACTGGTACGGCATCGCGGAGTGGATACCGCCAAATATGAACATCTCGTCGTTGCTGGTGGAGCTGGTGCTCACCGCGGAGTGCAAAGTGCGCACGGGGGGCACCTGTGAGGCGGCATCCAACTCGATAGATTCCCACCTGTACGTGTGGTTTTGGCCAAGCTTTAGCACAAAAAGGTCGCTGTTCGGGGCGGACTGGCCCTGGTCATTTCTTCTGCTGTCCATGCCTCCGTACATGATGAACCCAGGGCCGCTGGGCGTCAGCGTATGACCCGCACGCGGCGTCACCGTGCGCTCTGGGTCCGCATCCTGATTAAGCTTCTCCCATTTGTAGGGGTGCGGCATGGCCGGCCTGGTGGCGTAGCGGTGGCACTCCGCCGAGCTCGGTAAACACGCAAAGCCTGCGGCGCCAGCCTCTAAGCCTTGAGCCAGGGTTGCGGACCAGTTCGCTCAGTTCATGACATGAACCTGACGCGACACCATTATGGAATTAGTTCTTCGCTGGAGGCATGCGTGTTCATAGCGCGAGACAGTGCCGATAATCACATGTCATATCAACGCGTAGCCGACTCTCGCCTAGTAAGCTATGGAAGCGTTGCATATCAAACAATGCTACATGGCAGCTTTAGGGCTCCACAAAGCACGACGCACGCAGGCAATACAAAGCAAAGCATGCAGAGGAACGCAAAACGAAATAATGCATAGCACATCAAGCACGAGTGGCCGAACACTCCGAGCGGCCCGCGAGGACCCCGGGGCTGGGACAGCTCGCGGGTGCAAAACATACCCTTATCCACGGCCTCGCGGGCCGAACCCTGGGCCACGACCTCGTGGACACAGGGCGCTTCATCGCGCACGTCCCGCGCAACGTATCCGTGCGACCACTTATCCACGGGATCGCGCCCCCGAATCCAGAGCGCGAGGGTGTGGATGTAGATACTTCCGCTGCTCGTGGACAGCCTTCCACCCCATAATAACGCCACACAGGGACGAGCGCCCCGATCGACCCTGAAGACATGGGGCCGAGCACGCCACGCCCACTAAGCCCTGTGCAGAGCGCAGCCGGGGAATGAGTACCCGCGGACGTGCCCAACCCACCTGAAGCGCCTGGCAACGCCAAAGCGGGGGCTCGGGATCGGGCTGGGGATCGAGGCGAGGTCCAACGTGGACCCCCGTAGGACGCCGATCCACTGGACTCCGCTGGAGGCTCGGGAAATAGAGACATATGGCGTCAGATTTGGGCTTGGCATCGCCGGGGAGGCGAGGTCTGGTTTGGGTGTTTGCAAGGGCCCGCTCCGCGGGACAACGTGGCGATCGTTCTACGTTTGTCAGCAACTGGGGGCGCGTGGTCCGGCTGGGTGCCCGTAAGTCGGGGGGGCAAACTACCGGTGGGGTAGGTCCAGAGGTGGGGTTAGGGCCCCTGGAGAAGAGAAATATCATAGATTGGTTCGCTCCCCCTTGAAGGGAAATATCAAAGATGGGTTCGCTTCCCCTTCCGCGTACCCTCGAATGAGGTGCTCTGCTAGACTCCCTGAAGGCTCTCGAAAGTATTCGCGGCGGCATTCTTGCCTTGGAAGCACAAGAGTCTGAAGTCTGTACAGTCATGGCGCTGCCCTTAGGAAGGCCAAACGAATAACGAATGAGCTCTTCTGGTCACGACGAGCCTCGGCCACGAAAAGGCCCCCCGACCTGGATCTGGGGAGTGGCCCGGGAATCAGACCTCCTCCCGAGCCCAAAGGGGTCCCTCTTCCAGCGTCTTCACGGTAGCCTGGGTGCCCGTACTGGGCAATCGCGGAACTCACAAGGGCGCAAGAATTGGCGTCGTGCCTGCGCTTGGCAGCACCAAGGGAGGCGAGGTCTGCCTTGGATGGCTGTGAGACCTGGAAGGGGCTCGGGAAGTAGCGGCAGCTCTACGATTCGCAACACGTGTGGAAGCATAGTCAAGATTGGATGCCTGTCAGGCGGCGCCCCGCAAGGGCCCTCAGGGCCCCCGGAAGTGGCGACAACTCAATGATTGGCAGGACGCATGGAAGCGAGGCCCAGATTGGATGCCCATGAAGCGGCGCCCTGCTGGAGTCCACCTGGGCTCAGGAGAATGGGGACTGTTCTACGTTTAGCAGCATCCCGAGGGCCAGTGTACGTCCGCGTAAAACGACGCCCCGCTCGAACCAGCATGGCTCAGGAAGTAGCTCCGCTGGGCAATCAGGGGGGGGCGCGGTCTGGCCAGGGCCCGCGTTACCCGGTTCTCCGCCAGAGCCCCCAGAACTTGAGGAATGGCGACACTTGTACGAGTGGCAGCACGTTGGGAGGCAAATGGAGGCAATCTGCACTTGGAAGCACGAGCACCAAATAGGGAGGCGACTCGCCTCCCCCTTTGGAACCTCGCCTCGGGCGAGATCCCTTTTGGGTCTGAGGCTCGTCAAAGGCGCGTTTGGCAAGAAATCGCGCTGGGAGGTCTAGCTTAGGTCGCCTAAGACAGCGCCCAACTGAACTCCCTCATGGGCTCATGAAGTGGCAGCATGTTCTACGCAGTTTGGCAGCACAGCAGCAGTCGAGATCTACAATCAGTGGTGTGATTGGAGAGGAGCCACATTGCCATTGCCATAAGACTGTAGAAGGCATGGGCAGCGAAACACAGGACACAAGGGTACTCTTGATTTGGTAAGGTCGATCTGCAAATCAGCCTCGACTGTAAACTTGGCGACTGTAGCATGATGCCCCGCTAGACCCCGTAGCTAGGGGCCCAGGACATGGCTGCACGTCGAAGCTGGGCAGGACCCAAGGAGAGGCGATGTCCAGAGTCGAATACCAATAAGGTGGCGCCCCGCTGGACCCTCCCGTGCGGCCAGCATCACCCCGCGGAATCGGGATCTACTTGGGATGGGCGTGCGTGAGACGAAGCTCGGCAGACGTACCAAGGGGAAGGCGAGGTCTAGCGCGGGTCCGCGTACAGTCAACCCAGCCACAAGGATGGAATATAAGGATGCTGGGCGCTAGGCACCTGGGATGCGCCAAGATGCCAGGGCACCCTTGGACAGAGGAACCAGAAAGCATGCAAAGGATGCCCCAAGTCGAGGAGAGGAATGCAGCGGCGCCTTGCTGCAACGGCGCGTCATGGAGGCCCATGTTGACTGAAGCAAGTGCGGAAGAGCAGTAACCTCGTGAGCCTGGCTTCTCGCCAAATTGTCTGCCCCTTTCTTCCCGTCATGTTTTTTGGTGCCCGGACAGAACACCTGGGCGACACAACCCGAAGGGAGGTGCCCAAGGTGCCTGCATGAATTCACATGCAATCGGACCTCGCAACACGAACGGCGGCACGGACCCCCCCCAGGCGTTATCCGCGCCGCCGTTGCGAGGTGCCTCGGGATGCCACCCCGAGACACGGCCACCGGCACCACCCCCACCTGGCCGCCGGCCTCAAGCAGCGGAGGCCCCGCTGCCCAAGGACTTAAGTTCCCGCGCCCCCCACGTCGGGGGACCCCTTCGAGTAACCCCATCGGGCCTCTCAGGGGTGGCACGGCGGGCCCGCAATACTACTCTCCTGTCTCCTCGGATCCTGTCCTAGCAGTTCCCGCTTCCTCCCGTGAGCTAGTCTAAACAGAGAAGCGCTGATAAAACACAACTGTCTTGCGTACAAAAGATTCAATCGGAACGTTGTCGGTGTTTCACAATGGTGCTCCCGTTGCAGCGATGCATTCGTTTTTGAATCGACGCTTTGCTCCCGTCGTTCAATGTTTGTTTCAAAACGGCGCTCTCGCCCCAGCTCCCGCCACAACTCTGGATCCGAGCCCTTCATCGTCGTTGTCGCCCCGCTCCTTTCCCTTCCGCCGCGTTCCACTTGTCCTCCTGCTCCTTCCGCTTCTCCTCCACCTGCTGCAGCTGCTGATGATGATCCTCCTCGCCCTCCTACCTCATACTCCTCCTCCTTCCTTCTGCTCCTCCTCAGCTTCCTCTTCCTCCTTCCATAATGCACACAGCATTCTTTTTATGACTGCGCATAACACGATGGGGTTCTCTGGGGGATTCCGAATCCACCATGACAGCCGTCGGCGGTTAGAGAAACCATCAGCGCAATGAGAGGGGATGGGTGGGAGGGGCAGGATGTCAGATATGGCGCGAGCGCACCTAGCTTGCCCTCCTCCCCTCCCCCTGCTCCTCCTCCCCCGTCTCCTCCCCCTCCCCCTCACCCCTCCTCCCAGAGGCCAGCCGACGACAAGCCCCGATCGCGGGATGGGCTTGGGACGACACGAGCGCCAGACTCGCTCTGCGCGCGTGCGCGAGAGCGCTCCTGCTGAAGGCGACGGTGGCGGGGCCGTTACCCCTCAGATGACGGAGGAGACGGGAGGGCGCCAACTGCCAACCACACACGCACACACCCGCCCTGGCCAGGCCCACCCCGAGCACAGATTCGGTGCACACGCCCTCTGGGCCTGGCCAGAGAGGCGCTTGCCAGGGTCGGTGCACATGCATCGGCTACTCGCAAGGAGTGACACCAGGCAAGAGTGACATGTGGTGCGCGGCGTTCGGGGAGCCGCGGGGGGGCCCACCCGAAACGCACACGACGCTGCTGTCGCATCGCGTTCGGAGATCTGGGGACCCCAGTGGACCCGCACCAAAGGTCGCTCTGGCGAAAGGTCGTCGAATGTATGGCTCCAGTCGCCTGGTCAGGTGATGAAGAGGGGGGGCAACGATAGGGGGGGACTGGCATAGGGGGGGAACATCGACCCAGAATCGGCAACACATCTCCGATTGATCGGCGAAAGGCCCCCGATAAACGGTTGGGACTACCAAACCCCTGTCGGCGATGAATGGGTGATTGGGGGTCGATACATCCCTCATCAGCCTATCCCCCAAGTGATCCTCGTAGTGTGGCGTTCGGGCTATTAATCGAGTCTCAGGCGGACGCTCGGGACGATCCGGGCACCCCGGGAACAAACTCGGCGAGGCGCAGCTGCTGGAAAATCGTCCGAAAAAAAACACCAAGAACAAAACGAAAACGCCCGCGAAAACCTCGAACCTCGATCCCGAGAAAATCCCGCCCCAACGCTGCCCCTGAGAGGGGAGCGGGAGGGGCGCGGACGAGAGCTCACGAGCGGCGAACATATCCGTATCCGCGCCCTCGCGGTCTGGATTCTGGGGGCGCGATCCCGCGGATATGCGGTCGCACGGATACGTTCCGCGCGGAGCATCCGCGAAACACCGCCCCGCATCCGCGGGATCGCGGCCCAGGGGCCTGGCCCGCGAGGCCGCGGATACGGATATGCATTTTCGCCCAGAAGGAGGGGCGCGGACGAGAGCTCTCGGCGCGGGAGCAAGCAGCGCCAGGGCTGCCAGCCTGGGACAGCTCGACCTCGTGGACGACGCCGTCCTCCGTGGCGGCTCCCGGGGTGAAGACAGGTGCCGCCCGGAGGGGGGAGGGGAGGAGGAGCAG